TCTGAGACCTCTTTTTTGTGAGGCATAGTGAAGCTCACCAGTGCTTCCTGTGAACAGCAAACTGAGTTTATAAGTCAAAGTAGCTCCAGCTCACACCTCCACTGTGTTCTCACTGACATAACTATGATGCCAACAAATATGACAAGAAACATCTGTTTTGACAGTGAGTCCCTCCAACTTGTGATCACCAGTGACCCCGTGCAAACCTAAGGGTGCATAAATGTGTTTATAATTAGCTTGCATGTGCACTGCACTTGTTAAAGAGAATTCATGTTGTCTTTTAATCTGGTTGAACAGGCTGCACAAACACACACAACTCTGCCAGGTTCCAGGTGTAGTGTAATCACTGTGCTGTCCTTTTACTTTTGACCAGGACATAGGTGAAGTCTTCCTGTGTTTGCTCTGCTACAATAAACCTCCTGCACACTATCCTGACAACAGGCACTTATTACTACCACTGCAAAACTGAACCGCCTTCCAGTTGCAATCTGTGGTCAACCATTAATGGACAGACGAGAGGAGCTGCAGGCAGGCAGGCGTACAAAGGCTGAAACACACAAACGGGCAAAAACTGATAGTAAAGCTATAAAAGAGACACATCAGTCCTACAAGAGGCGGCAAAACACTGCAGGTTCACTGCAATTTCCATGCATTTTTAATTCACTGTCAGCTCCTAAATCCGGCACGAGACTACCGTTTTCTAAATTTGGACATGCATTTCCCAGTTTAATTCACCACCTTCACTCAACTCAAAAGATTCCTCACATGAGGCTAAATGACAAGACATTTTGGTTGAGCACAAGTTTAAAAACAGAACAATGCAGCCCATCAGCTTTTGGTATATTAACTGCCAAAGCTGTGCAAAAACATCATCGTATTCTTAATGCTCACGGTTTTAGTAGTCGCTGTACCAGGAGGCCATAAGGGGTCAAGGTTCAGTTTTTATCCATCTACACAAACATGGACATGCCCACGCTCCTTTTCTCATTAACCAGTGCCGATTACAGAACATTAGATATATAGCAGCTATACTTTAAAACCCAACTAAGCATACCGTTAGAAGTTCTAATTTTTTCCGTTGTTGTATAAGTTACATTATGATAATTATAATTCACTGCATTTAGTGCAATGTCAGAAACTGACAACCCATCTGCAGGTTAAACGTTTCCAGAGGCCAAGATTATATTTTCTATTTGCTTGTTTTGTCCGACCAACAGTCCAAAACACAAAGACACTGAGTTTACTGTAATAGGAGCCAAAGAAAACCAGCAAACATTCACATAAAAGAAGCTGGAACACGTTAATTTGGGGCTGAAATAATTGGTTTATGTTTCTAATAGTTCTAGCTCTAAATTCCATTCACCAATAATGTAAGTTTTATGTAAATTAATGAAAACTTGAGGGCGTACACAACTCAGGCTTCAACAGTTTGCTAGTGGACTTACCATACAGACATGACAGGAATTCAACAGCTGCCTGGAATGGTGGGGGTTAACAATCGCTGAAGCAGTACAACAAGCTTAAAAAATTGGCAGCAGAAGTGTTACAACGGTTGTAACTATTGATCTTATCAGCCGATAACTGTATACTAAATACGCAAAGAAAACATTTAGATCTGAGAAGCTGAAGCCAGTGCATTTTGGCATTAATAAACATTATGCAAATATTTGCAGACGGCCTGGTTGATGAATAAATTACATTTCTAATCTAAAAATGTATAAACATCCATTTAAATATTATAAGCAAAAACATAAGAGCCCAGAGTAGGCATGGTACTTGAATATCATAATGCCACTTAACATACTGTATAGTACAACTTGTACAAGAAAACCAATAGTGTCTGGTTAACTGGCATCAACCTGGGATATGTGTGTTACAGTAATACAGATGAAGACAGGTATGTCCAGTCATATCAGTAATGTCTGACAGAGCAAGTGAAACCAACGGTCAAAAGTAACTAAACAGATTTGATCAAGCACTGTACTCAAGTATACTTTTGAGGTATTTGTAGTTGACCAGCGTTTCAATGTTCTGCTGCATCAGGTATTTGTAGTTGACCAGCGTTTCAATTTTCTGCTGCATCACACTACAACTTCACTACATACACAAATACTGCATTTTGTACTACACTACATTTATCTGATAACTTGTTCCTTTTCAGAATCAGATCAATAAAACAAAATAGTCTATTCTTAAGACTTTACTCAACCTACAAGTTCACAAGCCAACCAGCAGTATGTAAAGCTAGTTAACATCAGCTCCACCTTTACCAGCTCCATAGTGATGAAAACTAATGAATCAATAATTAAAAATCTAATAACATGAAAAGGAAGTGAAACGTAGCAGTGTGAATATGGAGTACTTTAACTTTTGGTACTTTATTTTGATGTTAATCCTTTTCTTTTGCTTCAGTATAAATCTGAACGTATTTTTATACTATGGTATTTCTACTTTTCTTCAGTAAACAGTAGGCTGCTTCTTCCTCCACTGAATGAAACATTACCTTCGACTGAGATTCAACTTTGATATCACAGCAAAATGCAGCGAACTCTGCGTAACAGTTGACGGTCCCAGTACTACTTTCACATCTGATACAGGTGTAACCTTAGACTTTGCTAGACTTCATTCTTCGTTTGTTCCAGCGGAGGAAAAGAAAACTAAGTCATAAACTTGGCCGCCGCGTTTGTATTTCTCAGCAAACAACAAACCAAACCAGCAGGTAAACCCTGACATTAAGCTGTAAAGGTCTTATTTTCAACAGCAGGACAAGCTGAAAGCCACTTACCTGTTCTTGGTGGTCACCTGTGGCGGAAGAAGCCATGTTGAAGAGGAGTGCAGGTAAAGTTGGATCACAGGATTTCACTAAGCCAAATCCCAGCTCCAGTTGTAGAGTCGCGATTAAAACGCCTAAGAGGAGGTGACATTTGTTTACAGCGTCACTCCCTGACTAAGTGAGGGACTTCAGGGGCCCCGAAGCCCTAGGAGAGCGGCGAAAGGGTCGGTTTGTCCCGGGGAAAAAGTCCAGGTGGAGCGGAGGAGTATCCAGCTGCAGCCCCGGAGCGAGTCTGCGTGAAACACCGAGGAAACCCGCTACAAGGTGTCAGTATTACCCGCTTCACCACGTGAAACGGCCTGTGTACTGTAGTACGAGCAGTAAGTCGCGCGAACTTCAAAATAAAAGCTGATATATAAAGTAAAAAGCAGCAACGCTACAGTGTAAAAATACTGTTACACGTCCTGAATTCAAAATATTACCTATGCACAAATGTATTGGCATCAAAATATAACTGAAGTAGCCTACCAAAAGTAAAAGTAGCCTGCTCATCATGCAGAATGACATTTCATATTAAAGTATATTCAATTATTGGATTGATGCATTATTTTAATGCTGCAGCTGGTAAAAGTGGAGCTGGTGTCAACTACCTTATAATTAGAAGTACTTTACTTACTGCTGGGTAGCTTGTCAATTTTCCACCTAGGATCAATAAAGTCTATTATACTGTATTTTTTGATTCTGAAAGCAAAGTTACCAAATAAATGTAGCGCAGTAACATGTACAATATTAACCTGTAAAATGTAGTGAAGCTGAAGTAGCAGAAAATGGAAATTCATACAACTACTTAAGTACAGTACATGTAGTTACTTTCCACCATTGCACACAGACTGCTGTGAGGCCAGATGTTTCTCTTTAAGCTAAATCAGTTAAAAGCTCATCTCACCTAAAGTGTTTAGATTTACACCATTCATGTGAAACAGCTAATCCTCAGTAGTTGGATCATTCCTCCAGTTCCATCACCTCTTGCCATGTTTCTGTTGTAACACATGAGGGCAGTGCTGACTCACAAACTGACTTTAGTCCACATCCAAATACTGTGTGATGCTCCCATAATGTTTGGCTCAAGGCAAAGGCCTACACAGTATTCCAAAACAGTGGCATGAAATTGTGTAACAATTGTCAAAGTTTTGTCTCGTAGACAGTGCATTGATGTTTTGTTAGTATTAATTACTATTGGGGTAGAAGCATTCACATTTTTAGTAGAATTGGCTGGTAAACATTTAAAGGGTCCTTCCACTCATTTTACATAAGCTTTGTTTATGCAACAAGTAGGCCACTACTGAACCAACTGAAGACAGTTCCGTCTGTTTTTTGTGGCTCTGAAGGGAAAACCAAGCCTGAAAAACCCCAATGTTGAGGGTTTCCTCACACTGCGCTCCAGACATAAGCTTGTAAAGTAGGCCCACACTGCTATGAGCAAAACTCAAACACATGGTTTGTGTTCTTATTTTGCATCCCTTTCTAGCCGTTATGTCTTGTCCATTTTTAATAGTTTTTTGTACCCATTTTGCATCTCCCCCTCATGTTGTGGCTTTTTCTAGACACTTTCCAATGGAAAGGGTAACAGTTCCATGCTACTCTGGTCCAGAACCCCCCGCCCCTGAATTTAATGATTATGCCAACTGCTTCCATCTCAATGACTCCCTTCCCATTCTGCACAACTCAAAAACAGTTTGGGATAGAGAACCAAAGGCAATGCACGGGCTGATGCTCATCATTCAAGTTCCCTGAAACACTGTGCCACTGATAAGAAAATTGGAAAAAAAAATTCAGTGATTGTTACTGCAGGTTATCAGTTTGACTCAAACTGCAACACTAAAAAGCGGTTACAGCTTTAACATGCCATCTGCAGTGGTGCAAGTAATCAAGTACAGTTATTAGTTTTGTATTTCAGTCATTAGATGCATGCACCATCAAACTGAGTTGCACACATTCTGAGAATTTGTAAACTGAGCTTCCCTGTTAAAGGATGATTCACTGTGGTTATAGCCAAGGAGTCTGTCAAGCTAACCCCCAGGCTGCTCTGCAGAGTTCAGCAGAAAATGAGCTTACCAGAACCGCATTGTCTTAGGTGACTCAGGCCCCAGCTATGTCTGTTGCCTTGAAAGCCAAAACACAGTAGATCTAACAGTTTCATTATGATGTTTAGAAAGGGCACTGCACAAGGAGAGTTGGTTAATGTTGTAATTGCAAACAGAGGTACAGCCAACATAGATGACTTGTATTATTCCATTTATTGGATGTTAGCGTAGAGTTTGTCGATCTGCGGCTGGAAGAGGGCTCGGAGCTCAGCCCGCTTGGCCTTGAGTGTGGGGGTTAACAGACCGTTCTCAATGGAGAATGGTTCTGGGTGGAGGTACACATCTTTCACCTGTATCAGGAAAGGGGGTACAGACTTAAGTATTTTGATAACATTCAACATTTAGAAGTCACCACTGGGCTAATAATGAACCAGTGAGCAGGAAGAGAAGAGTTGCACCAAGTTACTCTTAAAATCTGACCACAGCTGATTTGCACCTTTAGTCATTTCACTTGGGGTATTCATGACGTTACCTGCTCGAAGGACTTGAGTCCCACTTCTTTGCCCAGTTTGGTCATGTCTGAGAGAACTGCTTTCTTAATTTCCTGCAGACAAGAGATCACCGTCTGAAGTATCAATATTAATCTTGAGTTGGAAAATTCAACACTGCTCCACTTTTAAAATGCCATTAGCACGCGTGCACACATGAGACTAGTCCAACTGGCGTTTTAGAATTAATCATGTTTACTGCAGAAACATTAAGCTTGGAGAAATGTAGTGACCTCCAAGGTTAGTTTGCTTTGTGCAAATTAAGAAAGGCCCTCATACTCAAGTGTAGGAGTGGAGTGAAAAGAAACATTACTGAGTTTTTGCAGAGTTCCTCGAAGGAGCCTTGGCATCTCATATTCTTGGCAAGACGTGGCAGTACCTCATGGTCAGGGACCACAATGGCAACCAGGCAGGACTACAGGTGCAGAAAAATAACTATCAGAGAGATGTGTTTTGAAGCATTGTATGGGCTCCGGCAGCAAAGATGCTGTGTTTACCTGTAGACTGTCTCCATGCACAAAGACTTGGCCCACAGGTCCACTGCGTATGTACACATTTTCAATCTTCTCCGGTGCTATGTACTCCCCCTGAGCCAGCTTGAAGATGTTCTTCTTACGGTCAATGATCTTCAGAACCCCACTCTGTTCACAAAAACAGGTTGCAGAATACAAGACTTTGTATCTTTGCATGATGAGCAATGAATTCCTGTTTTGTCCAGTCATGTTTGCATGCATGTACGTTAAACATGAAACTCCAGCCAGGAGCTTAGCATGACGACTTGAAACAGTGGCAACAGCTAGTCTGGCTCTGTCCAAGGATAAAGCTGCACCTCTAAAGCTTATAAAATGTAGATTCATGTTTCATTCATACAAAAAAAAAAAAAATCCATAATATTAAAGTCCATTTGGGGGGCGGGGGGAGGGGGACTGTTTGCTTCCACTTTTCATCCCCTTGTTTGAACCCTCTGCATCTGGCACTGAAAAGCTTGCAGTTGCTTGGCTCATTTACATCTAGTGAGGTTGGGGAATTACACCAGCATTTCCCTGCCATCTGGGTTTTGGTTCTTACTGGAAGCCATTTTCCGATGTCCCCGGTGTGGAGCCATCCATCTTTATCCAAGGCCTCTGCAGTTCTCTCTGGGTCTTTCAAGTAACCCGTGAACACATTTTTACCCTTGATGCAGACCTGTCAGACCAGGAAATAATCGAGTGAGACCAGACCATTAAATAAATTTTACTTTAAACTCAAGTATTGCATATTCCCAAAGCTTTCACCAAGTTTATGGGTTTGACCCTTCATTAACACTACTGGAAAACTAAAGTGCTGTATTAAAACTTTGTTTTTACAGTTTAACAGGTTTAAGTGATGAAATCTGATGAACCCCTGCATGTGGCAGGACAGTGTCTGTTTGCAGAAACCATAGTGGGAATTTGGGGAGATATGGTAAATTGTATATTTTCTAAGCACTTTCTATTAAATCTGAAATTGTGTTTTGCTGACGTTTGTATGATTTTTTTTTTTGGAGATGTGACCCATCATTTATGTTTCCAGTTCTTTGACTATCTGGTCAGTGCCTATTCAACATGGTAAACCCAGTCAATTTTTCATTAGCTCACCTCCCCTTCACCATTTGAAGTAAAGTAATTCATTTCTTCAACATCCACCAACTTCACAAAATTACATGGCAGCGGCACCCCGACATGCCCTGTATTAAAAGAGTCCTTCAATTTCTTTGAATGCATGAAAACGGTATGAAACTTGTTTATCAACTGAACAGAGTTTAAAAAGAGGAAGCAATGTGCTTTATAAGAAGAAACTGAGTCTACACTTTAGAATTGTGGGAAAGTTTAGGTTCAGCCTCTGAATGACGTACCTGAGGTGCCATCTCCTGGCATGGTGAAGGTGCAGGCAGCTGTGCACTCAGTCTGACCATAACCCTCAAAGATCTAAGGACAGACAATCAGAGCAACAACTCGGTTTACACAAGCTTTACCTTTAGAGCCCAGAAAAGTACAACATTTAGTGAACGATTTTAATTTCATCTAAGGCGGTGAACTGTAACTTACGTCAACATAACACAATCATCTTTATTACCTGGCAACCCAGAGAAGCGCGGAGGAAGTTGAGAACAGAGGGAGATATGGGAGCTGCTCCAGTCACCATAAACCGCACACGTCCCCCCAGAGACCCCTAGCATCAAGGTTTAGCACATTTGTTTACATGCAGCAACTGTTTGAGATAATCTGCATTTGGTTGAACAGAAGAAGTACCTGGACTTTGTGGAAGACGAGCTTGTCCCATATGCTGTTGTTTCTGATGACACCCTGCTTCACTTCAGCAAATTTCCTCTGCACAGCAAAGTTCAGCAGCCATTTCTTGAAAGGTGATTTGGCTTCACTCTGAACCTAATTTTGGAAGGGGAAAAAAAGTGAAGCTGCAAAAACACCAGGACTTTTTTTTTTTATTTTTAAAGAAAGGTGCTGTTGTGTGAACCAACTTTGTCATAGATACGATTGAGAAGTCGAGGCACTACTGGGAAAATGGTGGGCTGCAGGGTTTTCATGTCATCTGCCAACAGCCTGACGTCGCCCTGGAAGAATCCCACCCTGGCCCCAGCCCCATACACTACAGTCTGCAAGATTTTTACACCTTATGACACTAAAACCAATAAAAACCATTAATGATTAGAAAGGCTGTAAACATTTATCAGGTCAACTTTACCTGTACAACTCTCTCAAACATGTGCGCTAAAGGCAGAAACGAAATGCTGACATCTTGGGCATCTGGACTAAGTGACGTCTGTGGGTTACAGAGGCACCATTAGAACTCATTTACAAAGACATGCACTCATATTCAAGTCCCACATGGGGGGGGGGGACTGAAAGTGAACTTTTTATCCCATGTACCTCAAAGCTTCTGAGGACACCTGCAGCATCAGAGACCACATTCTCATGGGTCAGCATCGCTCCCTTGGGGTTTCCTGAGAAACAGGTTACTTTACTTGAAAGATGTATCAGACAGTAAATGTGAAACCTAAACAAGACAGTCTACAGCTATGAAAAGAGAATAAAAGGTTTACAGTTCAGCCTAATGGGGATGTGGATTTGTGCCAAAATATTTGACATTTCACTCCAAAACCACAACCTCATGGTGGCACTAGAGGAAAAAGTCAGGGGGTGGCAGCAGACTTTGGGATCTCTCCTCTGGGAGCACAAAAGTCTGTACAAGCTAAATAGGTGCTGAAATTTCAGTTTGGACCAAAGTGGTGGGACTGACTGACGCCGACAGCCTGAACCTAGCATGGCTAAAAATGAATTCAAACATGTCTGCTCTTGCTTTTATTCTGTGCAGTTCAGATTCAGTCATCATGAAAGGCAGAAGATTGATCTTAAGTTTTTGTTTTAAAACATGCTTGAAATAATAGCCTGTAAATGAAAAATTGATCACCTGTAGTGCCGCTGGTGAAGCAAATAATGCTGAGGTCCTCTGGCTTTGGTGGCTGTTAGGACATTAAAGTCAGCATGCAGCTTGGTAAACCTTAGACATTCAGCCTGATTACATGAATTAGATCACACTTACAATTGGTTTTTGAAGATTGTTTTTCCCCAGAGTCTGAGAACACAAAACATTGTTTCCAGTAAAAGTATTACATCAGTTCACTCACAGGAATATGAACTCTAGCACTCCCACCAAATGCATTACCTCCACCTCCTGCATGGACACAATGTCCACCCCACACTTGGCTCCTCGCTCTACCAGCTCAGAGCTCAAAGGGTCCATGATGATGATGGTTTTGAGAACCGGGGTCTGGCCTCTCTCCCGGTTCTGCAGCAGTGTTTCTGCCTTGTTTTGATTGTCACAAAGCACTGTGGAGATCTCAGCTGGGGAGAGAAAAACAAAAAGCTGAAACCAATGCGGTTATGTGGCAAACAAATGCCCTACATTCAAGTTAGGTCTACACTGATGTTTCAGTTAAGAGTAAAAATCAGGACTTGCATCATTACCAACTCCAAATGTACTGTAATGGTCAAGCTCATGTCAAATTGCCCAGAAGCATCAGATAAGCAAAAGGAAAACGAAGCATAGAAGTGGAGTGCATGTGATAAATAATTAGGAGATTAAAGCACACTCGACACTGATCCCTATGGGGACCAGTGTAATCAGCAGCGCAGGAGAAGCTCCACTTACCCAACTCGATAACGAACACAAGAGCCTCAGGACCCAGGGTGTCGTACAGGGGAACAGCTACCATGGAGTACGTGTAGCAGGCCAGCTCACCGATGACCCACTAGGAATCAAAACCCGAGATAAAGTTGTGGCATGCAGGACTAAAACAAATGTCATCTTTCTAGAAGAGCCACCGGGTCACTTACTTCAGGTCTGTTCTGAGCAAAGATGCCAATCAGAGTGTCTGTGTTTGGCTTCAAGCCCCGATGGAGAAGGCCTGACCCCAGGTGCTCTGCTCTGTCAGACACCTTCCCAGGGAGAAGAGAGGGGTCAGGTAAAGTCTTATAAATCTTATTATTCCCAGTCTGGACAGATGCCACTTTAATGTACCTGTCTGTACTTCAGCCACTGGTATGGCCTTCCTGGTTTTCTGTAGCCCAAGCATGGCCCATTACCTGCAAACAAAGAGGAACATAAACCTGATATTCGTCTGTGAGAAAGTAGTCAAGTACACTTTTGATGCATTTATAAGAGTATAAAAAGGCCCATTTCGCAATAAGAGAAAAGTCATCACCTGAAACTTTCAGTCCCCTCTGAAAAACCTCGTACATTGTTTTGGCGTCATCATAATAATACGAGATCAAGTTGTTGTTGTTTTCAAGCAGAGCCGTCTTCCTAGCCCCACCCTGAGGACAGAAGAACAGCACTGTTACACTTCAATAAACTGCTCAGTGATTGTCAAAAACCCACAATTCCATGGGTAGAGCTGTGAAAGATTCATTTCACTGTAGCATACTAGCAGCATGTGCATGCATTGGGATCCATTTGTAAACTGATCAAGGACAAAAGTGACAGCTTTGTTGTCTTCACCTTGATACCCAGAGTTTGGTGGTTAAGGTCAGCAGGGGTACGGAGGGGGCTGGGCCGTGTGTTCAGGTAAAACAGGGTGGCAGCTGCCACGACGAAAAGCGAGATGATGGCAGGGGTCGGGAGAGGAGAGAACAGCAAGTAGAAAACAAAGTCCATGGTGGTCAGTCTGCTGGGACACAAAATACAGCTATTTGCCTCTTTGACCTGGACTCTGTGTCAAATACAACTAGTTAAACATGAAACGCCACATTTTAGACTGTCCATTATGCAATTTTGAGCTGTTAATACTGCTGTTGTCTCCATATTAACTTAAAGGTCAAAGTCAACTTGACTTGTGCAAGAGTGATTCTTAGTCACTCAAGGTCGAGTTCAACCCATTGAAGCCTCAGAACAACACTCGATACACACAATGACTGCAGACTTAAAACAATACATTGCTAACAAGTGCTGCAGCTGTTAAACTGATGCCAAGCTCATGTGACAAATGCATTTTCTTCTTAAGCATGACAGTGAAGTAATCTTGACCTTTGAGACATGTTGGTTCTCAACTAAATTGCATGTACCAAGACTCAACAGAACTAGCATGATTTATAGCATTTGTAAGGTCAGCAACAGTAACAAAAGTAAAGGTTGTGTGAAACAATATGCATCTTGTCGTTAGCACCATTACAATAAACGCTACCCATCAAACTTAAGTCCCATCAATACTTTCATCAATGGCATCTACAAGTGTACCGACGGGCTAACGTGTCCTACTGGCTCTCCTACCTGCCCTTAGGTGTTCCTCTCAGCTCCCAGTTGACAGGCAGGTGTGTGTGGTGGCGTGTGCGCAGCAGAACCTCTTCCTCTGCTCTGCTCTGAGGGTGGATACACAGAGAACTCAAACCCATGTGACAGTCAAGAGGAACCTTTGAACCTTGGCCACCATCACTTTCACTGAGGACATCAAGCTATCCTGGATTTATGTCAAAATATTAATGTCCACATTGCGCATTTTATTAAGCCGTTTCACATTTATCTTTACAACCATCCACTCTACAAATCAATAAATGACTCAGTTAACATTTCATCTGAGACAGTGTCAGAAGGGCAAGATGCTGCAACTGATGAAGTCATGAGTTTGTGTTAAAAAGATGAAAAGGCTGAAAATTCTCTTTAAACATTTACAGTACTGTATGCACCAATTAGACAACCAAATAAACCCATGGAGCCGTGTGTAAAACATATTAACCCAAGAGATTACAGTTTTAGGTTGGTCAAAATAGTGTCTTTTAGGTAGTAGTGGGTTCTTAAGAAAAATGGATGTACAACATATCAAACCCCTTCACTTAGTTAACACCAGCACACTTAACTCTTCGATTAATTTGTGTAGTGTGTCCTCATAGCCGGTAAATCCCTTTCACAAGGGAAGAGTTTTCTGCTGAAAGAACAGAGCTGAGCTTTTCTGATAATTTAATTTGGGGGAAAGTTACTCAATTCATAGCTCCTACTTAACAGGAACTAGTTGGCTTTGCACAACAGATGAATGTGCATCTGAAGTTTGATCTGAATGAAAGCAGCATCTTACCACCATTGGAAATGCATTTATCAACTTTGACAGAAGTAAATCAAGTTTAAATACATTTACTCAGGTGTAGGTCAGAAGGTTGTGGGTGGTTTTGTGATGCCTACTTAATCCCACTGATCAAAGTGAAAATGTAACATTTACTAGACAAACATCACAGTGGACACAACATGACAAGATAAATGCTCACATTTATTTATCTGTCAGGAGCATACTGCAGATCTCCAAGCACCTGCACTGTCAGCACTGAACATGCTTTGGCTTGAAAGGGAAACAATCCAGACTCTGGATGTTAACCAGCACTAACTCCATGCAAGGTGCTTTGAGCAAATTAGCTAAATAAATGCTATGCTTCATCTTTCAGAAAGTCACATAGCCACACTTTAAAGCAACAGTGATAAATTCCATCTGCAAAAAAAGTATTAGAATAGTTTTTTTAAAACCTAACGGATTCCTTTAAAAGGAAAGACAGGTAGACAGATTTCACTGACAAACATTTCCCCACTACAAGCATTTCATATTTACTTAGCAAAGTTCAAACACTGCTGAGTTTCTAACATATTCTCCAAAGTGAATATCTTGGTTTTGAGATGAAGTCTCATTAAGAAAAGCTTCAAACCGTTACCTGGCAGGATTAGCAGAAGCAGTCTGGGGCCAAGCACAGCAGGCATCCACTGGGGAAAAAGCAGCTGAGGCCAGCAACACCACTAATGTGCAGTACAATCCTGCGCTCATTAGCACCTTAAAGTGCACACAGGTGTGAGAGGCTCTCTGCACCAAGCAAGGCCCAACCTGTCTCATCTGGTCTGTGCAGCCCCAGGAGATCACAGCACAGTTTTCACTCTGGGTTTATTTGTTGTATTGACTTTTAAAAACTGTCTTAATAAAATCCACCCACATTCTTTAAACAAAACTATCTGCAGCCATTTTCCATCCCATACTTCTGTGTGTGTTTGCATGCAGGGGATGTGTGTCCCTGTTGGAGATAAAGATTATGATGAACTTTGACACTGGGTTTATGAGCAACACCTAAAGGCAGACTGGATGTGGCACCTTTGGAATTTACTTATCTCTAGTTGATAAAATCTAATCACAGGCATATTTGACCAAATCTGTCTCAGTGATAATCAGATGAGTGTTACAAATGAAAGGCCTGCCCCTAAAACAGGTTCTTTTTAATAAATTTTCCCTCATTTTGCTGAGTAGCACATGTGAAACAGATTAGAGCTTGTAGTGACTAGTGGATTCATCTTTTAACAGATCAACAGAAAAATAATCAGCAGTTATTTCAATAACTGATTAATTGTTAAAATACCTTTTAATCAAAAAAGGCAAAAACTGTAGCTTCTCAAACAGGCAGAGTTCCTTCTTTTTTTAGATTTTTATTATTTTAAAGTGAATATTTTTAGACTGATGGTCAAACAAAATAAAGAAATCATTTAGTTGCAGCCTTAATGCTGAAGTACATGTAGAGATGTGACTCTTTAGTGGACATAGTACTCACACTGACACAAGAACATAGAGTCTGGTGTAGGACACACTCTAATAATGAATTACACCACAGAAAATGATGAACTCAGTGCCTCTTGTACCTCCCACTCTCCTGCACATATTTACATTTTCACCTCCCAAAACCAACTGCCCAGCATCACCTAGGGAAGTTGGGTATTTAAGCTGTGTAACATCAAGCTCCTAATGGGATGCGAGTGATGTCGAGGATCGTATGCTTTTCTGGGATGAGCCACACACTGCTGCTCCACGTCCTACTTGTGCTACCCGCTGCTGTTCTCAGTAACATCAGCACAAATGGGTCTCAGCCTCTCAAGCTGCGTGTCGGCTTCCAGGCTCCCTGGAACATGTCCTTCCCCTTCAGCGCCCTGCGGCTGGGCTCGGCTATACAGATTGCTGTGGAGAAGGTGAACTCGGACCCCTCTTTCCAGGGGAAGTACAGTCTGGATTTTGTCTACA